CCTTCCCCTTATCCTCCTGGTATGGCTACTCTCATTATTGGTCCGGAGGGGGTTATCTGTCCTGAATTCCAGTGTTTTCCAGCTCTTGTCTGGTGTACATGCTCTGGTCTTGCCGGATTTTGGGATCATGATAGTGGGGGTGGGGTGGGAGGAGGAGCATTAAAGAGCTAGAGGAAAGTTGTATTTTTCATTGGTGCTATACTGCACCGACTGGCTCGTCTCTTCCTTGTGACCCTTCTGTAAGGAGGTGCAATTGTCTACAGATGGGCTTTGAGTCTCCACTTCGCACTCCCTCTTTCACATTGTTCTTGGTCTTTGAGGTCTGGCTGTACTTCTTAAACAAGTTTGCTCTTTTGATAGTTCCATGGTATTTTCAATATTCATTACCTGCACAATTCAAATGCACCTGTTTTTCTTTGGTCTCCCTTATTCAGTGTCCAGCCTCCATGTGCATATGAGGTGATTCAAAGTACCATGGCTTGAGCCAGGCTCACCTTAGTCTTTAAAGTAACATCTTTGCTTTTCAACACTTTAAAGAGGCCTTGTGAAGCAACTTTACCCAGTGCAACCCGTCGTTTGATCTCTTGATTCCTGCTCCCCTGAGTATTAATTTATGGATCTAAGCAAAATGAAATTTCGACAAGTTCAATCTTCTTTCATGCTATGTACTAGTCCACTTGTGAGGATTTTGGTTTTCTTTATATTGAGTTCTAATCCATACTTCAGGCTGCAGTCCTTGATCTTCGTCAGCAAGGAATCAAGCAAGTTTGTGTCATCTGCATATCACAGGTTAATAAGCCTTCCGCCAATCTTGAAGCCAAATTTTTCTTCTTCCAGCTTCTCCGATTATTTGCTCACCATACAGACTAAATAGTATGGTGAAAGGATACAGCACTGACGTATACATTTACTGATTTTAAACTATGCAATATGCCCTTGTTCTGTTTGCACAACTGCGTTCTTGAACCATGGATTGGTTCTGAATGAGCGGTATAATATTTTGGGATTCTCATTCTTCTCAATGCTATCCATCCATGATTTGTTATGGTCTGCACGTTGAATGCCGTGGCAGTCAATAAAACACAAGTAAACATCTTTCTGGTATTCTCTGCTTTGAGCCAAGATTCATCTGACATCAGCAATGATATCCCATGTTCCATGTCTTTGATTTTGGTCTGAACTTCTAGCAGTTCGGTGTTATTGTACTGCTGCAGCTGTTACTGACTTTCAGCAAAAATTTACTTGCATGTGATATCAATGATACTGTTGTTTAAATTGAGCATTTTGTTGGGTCTCCTTTCTTTGGAATGGGTACAAATACGGATCTTTTCCAGTCAGTTAGCCACGTAGCTGTCTTCCAAATTTCCTGGCATAAATCTGTGAGTGCTTCCTGTGCTTCATCAGCTTGTTGAAACATTTCACTTGGCATCTCATCAATTCTTGGAGCCTTGCTTTTGGCTCATGCTTTCAGTGCAGCTTGAAATTCTTTCTCCAGCACCATTGGTTCTTGCTCATGTGCTACCTCCTGAAATGGAATATCAATTGGTTCTTTTTGGTACAATGACTGTGTGTTCTTTCCATTTTCAATGTTTACCCTATTGTCTTTCAGTATTGCAGCCCAAGAATCTGCTATTGCATCTCTACAATTAGTTTCTTGAGTTCCTTTTGTGTAAGAAATGCCGAGCATGTTCTCCCACTTTGGTTTTCTAATTTTAGGCCTTTTCCCAGTTCATTAGAATATTTGACTTTGAAATGTTCTGTTCAGCTCTTTGACTTCATAATTTCTTCCATTTGCTTTAGCAATCAAGAGCCAGTGTCAAAGTGTCTTCTGACATTCATGCTGGTCTTCCTTCCCGTCTTTTTAATGACCGTTGGCGTTCCTCGTGAATGATGCGCTGATGTCATCACACAGTTCAGGTCTTCTGTCGTTAGTGTTCAATGCATCAGATCTGTTCTTGAAGTTCTGGTGGGATAGACTCAAGGTCATATATTGGGACTCGTGGAGTTATTTTCATTTTCTTCAGCTTCAACCTGAACTTCCCTATAAACAATTGCTGGTCTGTTCCACAGTCAACCCCAGGCTTTGTTTCAGCTGTTGGTATTGAGCTTCTCCATTGTATCTTCCCCCAGATGCAGCCAACTTGATTGATTTTTGTGCATTCCATCTAGAGAAGTCCAGATGTATGGTACCTTTTTGTGTTGTTGAAAAAAGCTATGGTGTCATTCTATGATACCTTCCTGACATGATCACTGAAGACAAAATGGGTGCATGAGCAAATGTGGTAAAGAAAGCTGATAATGGCAGGCTACGAAGAGATAGAGCATCGAGGGCCTTAAATCCTTGAAGTTAAACATGCGGCCATCTAGCAGAGAAGCAACAAAGTCTACATGGAGAAGCACACCAACCCATGTGATTGAGGTGTCCACCAGAGCAGGTATCAGAAGACCCAAAACAAATAATTACATTGATGTGAAAATTGGGGGTAGGAGAGGAAACCCAAAGCCTATCCATAGACAATTGGACATCCCTCACAGAAGGGTCACCAGGAAAGGATTAGTCAGTCAGGGTGCAGCATAGTACTAATGAAACACACAACACTCCTCTGGTTCTTTAATGCTTCCTCCCTCCCACTATCATGACCCCAGTTTTACCTTACAAATCCAGCTAGACTGGAGTACGTACTATGGTACAGATAATAGTTCTCAACAAACAGAATCCAGGACAGATAAACCCCTTAGGAATAGTAATGAGGCAGTGATACCATGAGGATAGAGGGAAAGTAGGGGGAGAAAAAGGGAACAGATCACAATGATCACTGTATAACCACTCACCCCCCACCCCACCTCTGATGAACAACGGAAACATGGGTGAAGGGAGACAGCACATGGTGTAAGACATGAAAATAATTTATAATTTATCAAGGATTTACAAGATTGGGAGGGTGGAGGAAGGGGGAGGGAAGAAGAGTCAAGTACAAGGAAAATATTTTGAGAATGATGATGTCAACATGTGTACAAATGTTCCTGCTACAACAATGAGTGTATGGCTGTCTGGATTGTGCTAAGAGCTGTCAGAGCCCCCAATAAAATGATTTATAAAAAAGAAAAAAGGCATAACTGAGTAGGATGGTGTGAATGGGAAGTGTCTGGCCCACAAAGGAACTGGATAGCTTGCCAGTAATGAAAATAAGGTATATGTCACCCATGTGAGGTGGGACCATGCAAACTGGCTACATGTAAATCTAACTTGTGTATTGGTCAGTTTGGCATCCTGTGACACTGAAAATGAGTTATTTCAAAGTGGAAAGTAGGGATCTGACTACTATCAGGAAAGAAGACAGGAGTGGGGAAAATCCTTTGGATCCTGATATCCCTGTGCTGAACCTCCTTGGTCCAGGCGACAGGCTGTGAGGCCAGAATGATAGCAGTGGCAAGAGCACAGGTCAGAAAAGTGAGCGTCCCTATCCATGGAGCAGGAGGATCAAGGAAACTGAGTGCCTTCTGGCCAAGGATTACTGATGGAGTGGGCACTTAATGTACTGAGCTACTCTTGCCCAAGCAGGGCAGAAACCAAGAGGCCACAAGATTCTGAGACCAAGGGTCTGTGTGGACCTATAAGAAAACTGCTGAGCCATGGATCAGCAAACCCTTATGTACCCTGAGGCATCCCACTGTGGTAAGCCTCAGCCCCAGGCACTCAGTCCCACTTCTGTGGGTCCACAAGCCCAACTTTCCCTATTAATTGCCCAGAGGCATCTAACTCCGAGCCACCAGCACAAAAACACTGTTTTCCCTTTTTAAAAAAGTAACAAAACTCTCTGTATGGATTGTGAGAAGAGCTGTACGAGCCCCAAATAAAACGATTTAAAAAAAAAAAGAAAGAAAGAAAACTGCTGAGAAGGTCCAGTGGTAAGAGTGGCGATACAGGGAGGGTGGAGGGAAGATAGGGTAGGAAGGAGGAACTGATCACAAGGATCTACATATGACCCCCTCCCTGGGGGACGGACAACAGAAAAGTAGGTGAAGGGAGATGTCAGACAGTGTGAGACATGACAAAATAATAATTTATAAATAATCAAGGGATTTTTAGGGGGGGGGGGATGTGGGGGGGAAAATGAGGAGCCGATACCAAGGGCACAAGTAGAAAGAAAATGTTTTGAGAATGATGATGGCAACAAATGTACAAATATGCTTGACACAATGGATGTGTGTATGGATTGCGATGAGTTGTATGAGCCACCAATAAAATGATTAAAAAAGAAAACTGCTGAGAAGAGGGTGTTGTGACTAAAGAAATGTGTCATGAACCTAAATTATAACCAGTTATTTCCTTCATCAGCTCCATAATCATGCAGATGGGCTCTGAGGTCCTTGTCCACGTTACCATGGGTTTCTCAAACCCAGCAGAGAAGTAGAGCTTGCCAGGGGAAGGGCAGCTGGCGTCAGAATGGGTCACAAGGCTGGAGCGTGAAGGCATGTCTCACTGTCAGAGGACGCTGCTTCCCTCCTCCCCTCCTGTGGAGTTAGAGGTCAGCGGCCACCCCTGAGTCATTTTACAACCCTTTCCCTCTGAGGTCATCTTGGTCCCACTGGATTTCAGTGTTTCCCAAAGTGGGTGATACCACCCCCTGGTGCTGCTGCAATGATCCAGGGGTTGGGAGGGGGCTGAAAAATCAGATACCAATATTTTTTCCTGGCTTATGGGCTATAACACAGAAACTTTTAATTTCTAGGGGAGCACTGACTAATTTTTTTTCCGCCAAAGAGGGTGGTGGTTTTAGAACCTATGGTTTAAACTATTAGCAGCTTCAGGAAAAGATGCTAAGGAGGGGTAAAGCCTAAATTTATTTCAATGTCTGAAATGCTCAGTGTTGCTGACCATGGGCTGTGGACACTGGGCAGGGCAGGTGGCATGTTGGCATCAGGGTGGGAGTCTGTCTCAGGTGGCACAGAACAAAACAGAAGAGACCACAGAACCTGGTAGACCATAGGCACAATACCTCCAAAGCTGCAGGGCTTCCTTTAATCAGAGAGACAATGGAAACAAGGATTCTTTTTTTTCTTTTCTTTTTTTTAAAATACAGCCATTGAAAAGACAACACATTAAGAAACATGTAAACACTGCAGCTGCTGAGTTACAAGTTACAAGTTGCACTGCTTGGTGTAGTACCTGTGCACTCCCAAGTATGGAGACCCTAAAGGAGAAGGAGATGAGAGCCTCCCCGCCCTTTCACAGTCGGACAGAGAAGTAGGGCACGGGGGCTGAGATCGAGAGAACAACAGACTCGGCGGTGCCCAGCTCCAGGAGTCTAAAGCAGAGTCTGCTTTCCAGTTCTCCCTAGAGAAAGCTTTTAAGATGTTAGAAAGTCGGAAAAAGAATTTTTGTTATCAGTTATCAGTTAGAGCAGAGGAACTGACAGATGCCTTCTAGTTAGAATACCAGCTATTAACAGGAGGCAAGCCAGAGCCTAATGTCATGCCCTGAAAAAGGGATGGAACACAGCCCCCGCCTCCCTCATATGCATAAACCCCAACCTTGATAATCCAAGGGCAGCTGGATGGGTGATCCTCTTCCCATGGGGATTGTATGTCGCACCTGAACTCTGGATCCAGCACAAGGGGAACAACCTTCTTTGGGTCTGCTGCCCCCAGTCAACCTCTGGTATCCCAAATGCCTTTTCTTCCAGTCTCAAGTTCTGCTCCATGGGCCCTGGCCTGTAGAAGGCCCAAGACTGCTTATTTCTGAGGAAAAGAGGAGCCCTCATTTTCCATACTAATTGAAAGATGACAGAGGAACCAAATCTGCTACTTTTCAGAGCAGACAATGCAGACCACCAAATACTGTACTTACTGGCCAGTGGAGTCTGCTTGATCTTTCCATACGGGAAGGAAGGCCAATGGGAGGGAAGGGAAATTTCCAAAGGCAGGGAAGGGAAATCAACACTTTCACTATATCAGGCTTGAGTGCAGTGGGGCAGAGAGAAAAGTGGCCCTCTTTCTTCCATAACAACAGCCATGGGAGCTTTTGTCTGTGTGTCTTTAATAGAAAATGCCCGTGGTCCTGGACTCTGGTCAGACACCTGGTGGAGAGGGCGACCCCATCTGGCCAGCAGAGTTACTCAGAAATTGTCACAGCACGTGTTCTGCTGAGGCCCTCTTGTTCCCGAGCTTGTAGGAAGCAGGGTAAGGGATTTGGGGCAAGAGTGGAACAACATTTTCAAGTGTTTGAAACCATGCCTCAGTGTCCAGAAAGTAAATGGAAAGGAAGGAGTGATAAAAGATCCAATCTCAGGGAAGCAAAGGAAACCCGGTTCCTCCCCTTGTGCTCTTCCTAAAAGAAACAGACCCTCTTGTTTGGGGGCTGGTTGGGGCACTTAGACTCATGTCCTAAACCAGCCCAGGCCCCAGTTCCTGTGGTAAAGGCAGAGTTACCAGGCATTGATGTTTCCTCCCAGTGGGTGTGGCCCAGCCTTTTATTCTCAATCCTGCACCATTTACCACACACACCCATGGTGTCTCCCAGATGACAGGAAAATCTTCAAAGGCCTTTACACGGGTTTCTGTCCCAAGATATTCATGACAACAACCCAGTGAAGATGGGAGGAGGGAGGTTTCTGGGTTCCTGGATTGAGAGAAAGGCTAGAAAGGAGGTGGCTTGTGAGGACTTCAAAGCACCGCATACAAGACGCCCAAGGAGGGATCCTCCTGATCTTGAGTCTCCCCTCCCACTGTGGATAGGGCAGGCCACCTCAAGGACGGCAGACAGTATAAGACACAGCTGCCTCTGGAGCCCTTCTGGCAGCTCCAAATCTCAGAGGCATGCTCAGCTCTGGTGTCAGGAAACAGAGAGACAGGAATAGAGGTACCTGGTCTCTGTCTGTCAGCTATGAGGTGGTCCTGTTGGGGACCCCAACAGAAGGCTCTTCTTCCCTAGGGAGAGGCCAGCTTTTGAGATGCTACTTGGCCCTTTCCTCACTTCAGCCAGACTCCCAAGTAGACTGCTTCCCAATCGAGCTCCTTAGGTTCTTCGGAGAAAAGAATTTACGTAAGTCAAAAACATGATTTTTTTTCAGGTTGCAAGTAATGGGTCAACTGAGCAGCACACCCTCCTTTACCCACCCTCGAGCCACTGGTGTTTGGTAGATGGGAGTGCTGGGGCAGAGGCCCAGCAGCGCTTTCGCCCCGGCCTCACTGCCTGCTGTTGTTGTCAGACAGCTGGCTGGGGATCCGCACTTCACCCAGGGATGCTGTGCCCTCGAAGCGCTGAGAAGCGATGGCTGCCTGGTGAGACATGCTCTTCCTCACAATGTCACCCTTCCGCCACAACACCACTTCCTGCAGAATTGGGAGGGAGGGGCAATGCAGCACAGTGAGACAGGGTGGAAGTGGTGGGGGAAGGACTTCTTAGCCACCCCCAACTTTCTCCTGGAAATCTTTAGCAACAATCGCTGAGCAATCAAAGGTAGCTATGGCTTCCTGTCACGGGGCTAAGTAGGAAGGGCAGGGCAGCTCCAGACATATGCCTGAGAAACAGAGTGGGTATCAAGAGGAAACCCTTGTTCTGGCTGTGGGACTTGGGGTGACCTGATGTTCCCACTCCCTGGTAAAATAACAAGTAGCACAGAAACTGCTGTGCTCCCTCCTATTCCCGTCCTTCTGCCTCTGTCAGAGTGGGACCTGATTTCTCACAAGGATGCCCTTCCTGTTTTCTAGGGTGCTCAGGGCCTGAGGAGCGCCACAGGTCTCACCTGCTGTTTGAAGTAGCGCCGTTCTTCCTCATCTATCAGCACCAAGTTGAGGTAATAGCGCACTGAGAACTTCTTGTTGATGTCTCGCATGGTCGGGGTGAGCTCGTACCCTGCCAGGAAAAGCCGGATCGGGATGGACTCGCCTGTCAGGGCAAAGTGAGAGTCAAGAGCAAGGACAGAGGGACACCCTCAACACTATGCCTAGTTGCTCTCAGACCGCGGCAGAGGGTGCCCACTGAGCACAGCACAGGAAACCAAAGCAAGTGCTTCTGTTGCCCAGGGGCTGCTGACGCGGAAATGGAACTCCCCAATCCCACCCACTATGAATGACTCTTCTCACCATTTCAACTAGCAGCACCGAGATAGTGTGGGGTATCATTTAGCCATATGCAATATGTCTAATGAATGGTGTTTTCAACATGTAATTACCAACACTCCCCATGTGGCCCAGGATTTTCACTGCTACCACGCCAGCCTCCCAGTACAATGGAAAGGCACGTCGGTATGGACTGGCACAGGGGAGCAGTGGTTGGGAAAGCGCAGCATCTTCTCTGGCCCCGTTCTCGGCTAATCGTCTGTGGGACTTCTGAGAAGCCTGTTTCTTTCTGGGCCACTTGAAAAACTGGGGAATCCGACTGTGTAACACTTGAGGTTTCTTATAGCTCTAAGCCTTTCCTAATATAGGTGGAAAAAAATTAGGGCAGTAATTCCACTGAGAAAGCCTGATCCTATAATGTAGTCTATAGTTAAATAGAAATGATTTTAAAATTATCTTCTGTTATCACTGGCCCTTTTAATTTCCTCAAGAAAAATGACAGTTGACTGTACTTGCAGAGTTGGTGAAAAAAAGGGGCCATCAGAGGAAGCCAGGAGGCTGGGTACCCACTCCTCAAGAATTTGTTGTTTGGGTCCTCAGTGCTGCAGGTTGCTCAGGCTCTGGCATCTCCTTCCACATGGGACAGATGTGGAATAAATGGACTAGAACCTTCGAAGTAGCAAGCACTTCAGAATGAAAAAAGGTATTCTTCATCTGCTGCTGCAGACCCAACAGACAACATCTATGATGCCCCTCACAAATGGCACACAGCTCTCAACTCCTCTCACATGTAATGTTAGCTCCCTTAGGGGAGGACACTGTTTCTAAGACCTAGTGTTCTATTCAATACCCACACTGCGGGCCAGAATATAGAGCAGTGCTCATTCAGAGTGAATGATTTTACCACAGCTGGCACTACCAGACCCAAACCAAATCCACTGCCATCAAGTCTGAGAGTTCAGCCCCTGTGTCAGGAAATACAGAGAGATAGGAATAGAGGGACCTGGCTTTGATGTCGACTATGACTCATGGCAACTCTCTATGGGGTTTCTGAGACTGTTAAGGGAGCACACAGCCTCATTTTTCTCTCTTGGAGCAGGTGGTGGGCTTGAACTTCTGACCTGTGGCTAATGCTTCAATGCCTAACGCACAGTACCACAGGGATGCAGAGCTAGTATTACTTGACAAAAATGAAAGATTATGCATTAATCTCTGGGTCGAGAGCAGCAAACAATATCAGAATGTCAAAAGGGTGGGGGTGGGGGGAAATAGCAAACTGTTCAAACTTTCTGCTAAAGCAGTACTTTTCAATAATTTAAACATTCAACAGGCGTAACTCTTGAAGTGAAGTCTTTGTGCAAGCCCAAGCTTTATGGTAAGTCTTAGAAGAGCTGTTCTGGGAAGATGGGCTGGGTTCTGACACTTCCAAGGCTCAGCCTTCCTTCCAATCCCCTTTCCTCTGTGCTAGCATCCACAATGTCCCATCTGAGATTAAGGCATTACTGGCTGAAAAGGAAATTGGCTGTACTAGTGCATTCCCCTAGGTTCCTCCCAGAGCCCTGTGAAAGTCCCAGGAGAGCAAACTCACCTCTCACGGGGGCCCCATCCATGATCTCATACTTGGCAATAGTATTGTTCTCGTGGTAAACATTGGGGCCTGTCCCTGTCGTCTCCCTCTTGATGATATCGATCTCCATGTGTTTGATCTTGATTCGAACCAGCAGAAAGTATATCTTCCCTACAATGACATCTTTCAAATGGTATCTTGGGAAGAAAAAGTGAAAAACAAGAGTTTTGTTTAGGCATGAGCTTTAGATGCTGTCTTGGTTTCAGTAACAGATCGCCATGTATGTTGTCTGAAGTTGTACCGCAAGCCCAGCCACTTTGTTGATGCTCTGATTTCCCAACATACTTTCCCAGAGTCAACTGAACTTCCTTCCAGCCTATCCAACTCCATGGATGTTTCCCCTTCAGGAAGGATCATGCTTGCTCATCTGATATAACCCCTCAGGGATTTACTTCCTCTTTATACCTTTTTTATTTGCTTATGAGTTTTTAGAAATCGTAATATGCTGAGAAACCAGGCCCCCCACCCTCAAATCTCCATATAATGTCTTTGAGGAACTAGGCCCAGGCTTGCAGCAGATAATGCCTGTTTGCTTGGGGCTAACAAAAGGGCAGGCAGGAACAGAATGGTTAACTACATCAAACGAATCACATTTTTCCATTACTGCCTGCTCTCTGGGCTCTGCTCAGCAGTGTGTATGCTGTGAGCTGTGAAGAATTCAGGCGTGTTGCATAATTTTTGGAAATGTTATCTTTGGGGTCATTCAGCAAGACTGGCAGTCTGAATGTATGCTGTCATGCTATACACGGTAGGAAACTTTGAACCTGAGAAGCTTGGTCATAGGACATAAATGTTGGTAGAGGCTTATAGACTTTTAACTTCCTTCTATCACAGGTTAAGAAAAGGCAGTTCAAAGAGAATAAGTAAAATGGGGTAGGCCTTTAAAAAGTATGTTGAGACAGGCGTGAGCCCAGGTTCCTAATTCCCAGGAACTGTGTTCTTTCCTGGTGGCATAGTGGTTATTCATTGGGCTGATAACCACAGGGTTAGCAGTTCAAAGCTACCAACTACTCTGTAGGAGAAAGATGAGGTTTTCTACTCCTCTAAAGAGTTATAGTTTCAGTCTTGGAAACCCACAGAGGCGATCCACCCTGTCCCATAGGGTCGCTATGAGTTGGAATCAACTTGATGGCAGAGTTTGTGTGTTCTCTCCAATACTGCTTTCTTTTTAAAAATTTCAGTATGATTATTGATTAAATCTCTTATAAATCTATTAAGCAAAAGCAGATCTAAGAGACTAATCACGAATTGGCTTGATTCATCATTCTCACTTATTTCTTACTGCTTTCTACTTACAGTCTAATTGGGATGACTACAAATACTGAGTCAGTATCTCAAGAGCACACATGAAAGCAACATGTTCACAGGAGGAAGATGTGGTAAGTTGCTCCTATAAAGATGTACAGCTGTGGAAACCCCAAGGTTCTACAGGGTCAGTACGAATCAGAATTCAGTGGTGGCAGTGGGTTTGGTTTTTTGTTAGGCTATAGCATTTCAGAAGGTATGCTTAAACACCATTGATTCTAGAGCTCTTCAAACTTAAATAATCCAAACCGTCTTGTGTTCTACATGGAATCTTACACAACAACATAAATCCATATACTGTAGATAAAAGAGTCCTCATTCTTCTCCTGCTTCTCCTTCACACCTTCTATGGCAGCCCCTGTGCTAAAAGCTCAGTAACCTGGCTCATTATTGAGATGGGAAATCCAAAGGGCAAGAATATCAGTGCCTTCCAGCCTCCACCCAACCCTTTACGAACAGAACAAGGCACTGACTCAAGGTCCTGCCCTTCCTGTTTCACCATCTTGCACATTCACTTAATACTAGTCTGCTCTTTCAGGACCTTTCAGGATGTAGTCCAGGACTTGCACAGAACCACCAGCTATTTTGTGGGACAAAGAAGAAGCATTCAACTCCCCTAAGAGTTAACAGTCTTAGAACCACATGGGCTCCTTACAGGGTTGCTATGAGTCGGAGTTTTGCAAGTGCCCTTTAGAAGCCCGAGTGGTGCAATGGTTAAATTCTTCAGTGCTAGCCCAAAGGTCGGGGGTACACACCTACCAGCCACGCTGAGAGAAGTGACTTGGTGATTTGCTCCCATAAAGATTTATAGCCTTAGAAACCCTTTGGCACAGTCCTATTCTGTCATACAGGGTTGCTATGAGTTGCAATCACCCCAAAGGCACACAATAAAAACCAAAGTGCCTTTTCTCTACCAAATGTGTTCTATCCATTGTCGACTAATGGTTATTTTGAGCTCCGACAGGGGGCACTGCCCGCCAGCCCACTGTCTTTACTTCCTGGGTGGGGCATCTGTGGCAACCAATTTTGATGACTCCTTTGGGAGGAGCACTGGTGGCGTAGTGCTTACACATTGGGCTACACCCTACATGGTTGTCAGTTTGAAACCACCAGCAACTCCATGGGAGAAAGACTAGCTTTCTACTCCCATGAACAGTTAGTTTCAGAAACACACAGGGGTCACTATGCATCAGCAATGACTTGATGGCAGCGATTTTTTTTTTTCAGTTGGGAGAAAGGTGGAGCTTTCTATTCCTATAAACAGTTACAGTCTTGGAAACTCACAGGGGGCAGTTCAACCTGTCCTACAGGGTCGCCTAGAGTCAGTAATGACTCGATGGCAATGAGTGTTGTTTCTGTTTTATCAAGGCAAGATCACACAGGGGCCTGAGACTGTGAGGATAAAGGGAATGAAGCCTGTTCACTTGCATGTCCCACTGCCGGGCCTAGATGAACCCCTCCCAGTTCACTCCACCCTTCTATTCCTCTTCAAGTGGGAAAAGGTCAAGGGATGGGGCCCAGCAGGGACTGTTTTGGGTTGCAGTTGGTATTTTATTGGGGCTTTACTTAGCTTTGGGTCAGGTGGCAAGGGAAACCTTCTATTCTAGGTACTGAGTATACTCCGGTGTCAAACATCCATTCTCCAAAGCTGTTCCCAACCCCTTCAAACTCTCTGGTTCACCTTCAAATGTTGGGTCTGAAGGGGTTGCAAATTAAAAACCCTCGTTAGAAATGTCATCCTATTTTGTAACTCTCCCTGTGAACAGAATGCTCCTTAAAAGGAATATTTGAGTTTGGGACAGTTTTAGGGTGTATTATATTCAAAAGGAGCCCTAGTAGCACAGAGGGTAAGTGCTCAGCTGCTAACAGAAAGGTTTCCACACACCAGCCTCTTCAAGAGGAGATGGTGGCAGTCTGCTTCCACAAAACTGACGGCCTTGGAAACCTGATGGCTGATGGGGTCATTCCGGTAGGGTCAATACCAACTGCTGCCGAGTTAATTCGGACTCATGTGAAGTGAATTGGCTGGATAACAATGGGTTTGGTATTATATTCAAAAAAAGACATGATTAAGAAATAGTTGATTATTCCAATGCAGAACATAGTTTAAAACAAAGGTGACTTCCCAGCTTACCGGTTAAAATAAAATCACTTTAAGGATTTAAGATGTTCCTGGCTGTAAGTCATTTTAGTTCAGGGAAGGAGCAACAACCATGACCATAATGTATGTGGAAACCAAATGATTAATGATGGGAATGGTATCGGACATTGTTCTCCTCTAGGGCCACCTAGGGAAGGAAATAGGTGCACCGAGAAATAACCTTCATTTAGATTACTTGGAAAGACAACGTGTGATGTGTACCTTTGTAATCTAACATAATCCAGTCCAATTAAAATACATTTTTACTTCTGAGTCAAACTCCATATAGTCAGCCTTGTACACACGCTGAGTGTATTATTCCTGTGGTCTCTCCACTGCATGCCCCAGTGTGTCAGCCTAATCCTGGGGTTCTACCCATTTGCACTGATTCAGTACTGGCTGAAACTCCCAAGATACTTATTCCACAACCTGGGGCTCCAGGACACTTACTTGGATTTATTATATTCGAACTCAATGTGCAGACAGTCTTCAATCCCAACTTCCATCTTGATGGAAGAGTTCAGTTCTGGGTAAGTGCTGAGTGTGTGAACGACAATGTCCATCTCTTTGACAACATCATTGAGGCGGCGGCTGATGGTAGCTCTAAGGAAATACCTGTAAGAGATGGACCAACAGGCATGAGTACTTCCTATCTCCAGATGCTCTCCAGATTCACGCACAAAACTGATCTCTGCGAGAGAACACCATACAGTGGGGACTGGGGCCCCTCTCAGAAAGATGCAGGCGTGCACCTGTACAGAGAATTCTGTGGTCAGGATGGCAAAGAGATCAAAGACCTTGCCTCCGAATCCCACTTTGGGTCACATGACTCTGGGTTAAATGCCCTGCTCTCTGTGAGATTGGTGTCTTTGCTCTGTACTCCAAAGAATGTCACTCATATGTTTTCCAAGACATTTACGTGTGTTTGACCATGTGCTTGTATACAGATTTTGTTTTAAATCAAACTAACTCCTAGCTCTGTGGGTTCAGGAATCAGTCTTTTCAAAATCATTTTATTGGGGGCTCGTAGAGCTCTTATCACAATCCATACATATACCCATTGTGTCAAGCACATTTGTACATACTGGTGTGTTGCCATCATCATTTTCAAAACGTTTTCTATCTACTTAGCCCTCAGTATCAGCTCATCTCGCTCCCCCTCCCCCACCAAATGAAAATGTATCAATTTTTTCCCACCATGTCTTACACTGACCGATGTCTTCCTTCACCCACTTTTCTGTTGTCTGTCCATCTGGAAAGGGGTGATATGTCAATCATTATGATGGGTTTCCCCTTTCTCCCCCCACCTTCCCCTTACTCTCCTGGTATGGCTACCCTCATTATTGGTCCTGAGGGGGTTCATCTGTCCTGGATTCCCTGTGTTTCCAGCTCTTATCTGTACCAGTGTACATGTTCTGGTCCAGCCGGATTTGTAAGGTAGAATTGGGGTCATGATAGTGGGGTGGGGGGCACATTAAAGAACTAGAGGCAAGTTGTATGTTTCATCAGTGTTATACTGCACCCTGACTGGCTCATCTCTTCCTTGTGACGCTTCTGTAAGGGGATGTCCAACTGTCTACAGATGGGCTTTGGGTCTCCACTCCGCACTCCCCCTCATTCACACTGACATGATTTTTTGTTCTGGGTCTTAGATGCCTGATACCTAATCCCATCAATACCTCATGATCACACAGGCTGATGTGCTTCTTCCATGTGGGCTTTGTTGCTTCTTATCAGGAATCAATTTTTGTTCTCATATTTGGACACTCCTTTATTGAAAAATTATGCAGTCAACAAGTATTTTATCAGTCCCTCATAGGTAAAGGGACTGAAGAATTTAACTCAGCTAATGCATTCAGCAAATATTCCGAGCCTAGTCTTGCATTTGGCATTGAAAAAATAAGATGTGATCTATCGGGATGTTTATCATCCACTACATGAGCTGGGAAAATAAAAAGAAAAAAGAGAACATGGAAAATGCTAAGTGAGATAAGACAAGGGAGAAAAAGGGCACTTCTGGGAAAGTAAGAGAGATGTGAAAGGGCCTGGCTTGTCCACAGAACAAAGTCTGGCTAAAACCCAATGTACTTCTGGAAGGGGCTGTGTGGTTGGGGACAAGCTAGAAGCAGATAGTCATGGCCCTTGAAGGGTTTCCTATGCTAAAGTCTAGCCTCTATGACCAACCATCTTACTGTTGTCTCCTCAGAATACGTGTCTCTGTGAATTAACTATGCAAATGCAAAACAAGGGTGAAACACCCCTTTAATTATTTTACTTCTAAATAAAACTTGGCTAATTCCCACACATATCAAGCATGAGTGGAGAAAGTTATAAAACCATGTGACTCAATCAACTCCACATTTAGGTCAGACACTATGATCTATGTGGTGCTGACTGCTTCTGGGGCTGTTCATTTTTGCAACATCCCTGTCACATTCCCCAAGACATTAGTTTCAACCCTGTTCTCAGTGCTCTGGCTTCCACGCCTGCCATTCCTGTACCCAGGAGAGGCAGGCCCTCCCAGCCACGATGCACATGACCTCCTTTGTGTCACGCTGGGAGCAGCACCGCAGGCCTCGCCCCTCACTTGCACTCCCTGTCTCCTAACAGAACTCCCACTTTTCAAGCCAGCACTTTAGAATCATGTGGAGGCTTTAAAGAAATCCTGGGGCTCAGGGATACCCAAAGTTCAGTTGTCTGGAGAAGGGCTCAGGCATCAACATTATTTTAAATGCTTAACAAGCAATTCTAAGGTGGAAGCCTTTTGAAACTCAGTTTTCTGACCTTTCCCCACTTTTATCTACATATGCACTCACTCTCGTTTTCTGAATTTGGGCTTATCAAATGTCCAGAGTTCACCAATCCCCAAACCCATTTCTAGTACTGGACAGATCATCATATTTATAAGCCATCACTAATCTACAGGCCATCTCTTCCCCATTACGGTCTCAGTCTTTTATGGCCACTGCTGCAATCCTCAGTCACTAGTGTCTATTAGCTTGCTTGCTTTTGGCCTGTTTCTTTTACATCCGAGAAATCAAAGCATTCATAGCTTCAAAACAGCCTTCTAACTTTCTGTCTTCACTCCTTCGCTATTAATTTTCCCGTCTTTACTTTTTTCTCTGAACACAAATCCTCTAGCTGTCATCTAATTTAGGCTGGAACACTTTTCTTTCTGACCTAAAAATATGTAAGATAAATCTACTGCATAAAATAAAATAAAGTGCTAAATCTCATAGTAGGTTCAGGGTGGCTGGCTTCTTGAAATTCAGTTACAAAATGGTGTCTTTTAGTGGGTGTAATCTTACTACACAGACTTTAAAAGACCTCGCTGAAAATTTTACAAAGAACCCACAAAACCTGTTTTGATGGAAGAGGGCTAAGTAGGCAGAAAGAGAAGGAAAATGTTGCCATTGTCTGCAGTCCATCTTAAACCCAAGCCTTGAGGTAATGTCAGTGAGCAGCTGGTTTCAGGAGAGGCTGAAGTGGAATCTGTCAAGAGGCGTAGGAAGTCGGTTTTATGCAGCTTTACATTACCTTGAGGCTATACATAAGGGAGTCAGAGATGTTCTGGACTTATTTATTTTTAACCCGAAGTTCCTGGAAATCAGTCTCTATCCTCAGTGTTTCTAACCATACAACAAAAAAAACCCCCACATACTTATTCATCTTCAGAGACTTTGATAACACTCTATTAGGCTTTCTTTACTTATCACGCCAGAGAGATAGAGAAGGTAGATCTAGAATTAGAATCCAAATCTAGTACCCGTCTTCCAGTGAGAAAGGTGAGTTACAGAGCATCAAAACCCCGCTAATGGTCAAGTTGCTAACTGCGTGGCAGAGCTGGACTGAAGAGCAGCCTCTCCTGACACCCAGCCAATGATGGGCTTGAGCCGGCACACACCTGCTCATGAGGGCCGGCTGTGCCATTCTCAGAATCTGCCACCTGTCCTTAAGCACAGCTATTATTTAACGTCAAACTACATACACTCACAGTTGAGTGAGTTATATGGAAAACAAGGGTAACATATCACTTCCTAATTATATGGCTACTTTTTATGGCTATCGCTGCTGGTCTGAATCCAGCAAGCACTGTGTAAGAGAGAGATGCTCCCAGGAAGATGGAAGCCTTGGAATCTATGGCACAGAACTGCTAAGACTTGGAATGCACTTGATGGCAACAGGCTAAGTTTTATGCCTCTGAGGGCATTAAGTCCGATCTACCTGCACGATGGTGATGTAATATCACCAGGTGCCACTGTGCGTCTGTTCCCAGCTTTTGTGTTCTGAGATGTGATCCTGGCAGCTTGAAATTGGACATGGCGGGGAAATTCCAGGTTTTTTTTGACTCCCAGCGAACCAGCACTGCTTTCAACTCTTTTTCTTCCAACTGCTAATTTAATACCCATAAAAAAACTCCCCCACCCCCACCCCCATGGGGACAAGCTTAGGTCCTCATCTACAGGGCAGGCTCTGGGGGCAAGAGGAGGGCTAGTAAGGTCATAAACACAACTTACCGTAGCTTTACATTTTGTCCTGTGTAGGATTCATATGGCTTCTCCACGTGGGTGAATTCAAAGTCAAAGGCCTGGGACTGGGTGATCTCGCCGGGCCGGGCCAAGTCCTTCACCAAAGACACAAACTCATGGTGGTTCCCACGGTCATAGTAGAGTTCTGGAAAGAGAGCATCAGCCACTTTATCAGGTCTTGAGCTATAAGGGGCCAGGGAGGGTCCGCTGGGCTGGGAGGAAGCTCTCTTCTCAAAGCTCCATCAGTGCCTTTTTCACCCACAAATGATATGGGCTTCCCCTTAAAAACAGATCCTTTCTGGTCTTGTTTTTCGACTCCCTCTCTTTCATAGACACCCAGATCCTTCACTGTTTTCCCCATCACTCTCCTTCCAAAACATCCTTCTGTTTTATGTTATGAAATCCAGTAGTATAGAAAAGGACCCAATATAGTCCTATCCCACAAAGGACAGGCATATGTTGGGAACCTAAAAGGAAACTGGGCGATGTAAGTAGTTTGTGATTGGCTGCTAACTAACTAAAAGCTGGCACTAGTAGCCCCACGCAAAAACACCTGGTAATCTGCTTCTGTGCGGAGTCCTCAAGAGAACTCTGGAACAGCGCTCCTCTGTGGCACACGGGTTGCCGTGAGTTAGGGCCAACTGGATGACAGCTAACAATACAAACAACAGGGAACCGACATCGAAGACAGCATATTTCTTTAAACACCATTTTATATACATATCCCAACCTTTGAAAAGGAACTCTGATGGCAAAACCGTTAAAGTGCTCAGCTGCTAATCAAAAAGTCGGCAGTCCACACCCACCACTTGTTTCACGGGAGAAAGATGTGGCGGTCTGCTTCCATAAAGAGTGACGGCCTTGGAAACTCTCTGGGTCGTTCTACTTTGTCCTATAGGTGTGTTATGGCTACAATTGATGCCAAGACTAGAGTTTGTTTTGGAACCTTGGAAAGCATATTTGGTTAGGCCTAATCACTCATTTAACAATGAGAAAACAGGCATAAAACGGTTTAATGATTGTAGATCTGAGATTACTTCAAGTTTTGCCCTAGCATATATTAAGACTTCATTTGGTCTACTGGCTAAGTAATACTGATATTTCTTGATTCTAAGTTCATATATCCATTTTTCCTGTATTATTTTATGCCTGTTTGTACTCTGCTACTTAAACTTCACATTTGTTTACACAAATGGTCTTTTCCAGGTGGATCATGCCCATATCCTGGCTTCCTGGCATGAACCCTTGTACTTGGTTCTACAATGGTGGACACTTACTGTTGACTAGGACAGTACAAGAACTTTGCAATTCCAGTTAGCATACTCTGAGGTACTTCTAGGTTAAAGCACTGTACTGTGCTGCAACTTACAGGATAGCAGCCCACCTGGGAAAGCAGAGAAGTGGAGCAGATTCAACTGGGGAAAACATCAAGTATACAGAGAGGAGTCTCCAAGACAACAGCCGCTTAGCTGCTTCTCACCATCTCCAGGGCACAAGACCAATCTCTCTCAGGGACACCTGAGCCTATAGGGTAGTGGGAGGAGGATGTGCACTGGCTCTGGGGTCCAGCCCTGACAACATAAAGTCTGAACCCCAATCAGAAAAACCACCTTCTTGAAGAGGCTTTCTACTCCTATGAACATCTGTAGGCTCAGAGACTCACAGAGGAAGTTCTACCCTGTCTTATAGGGTTGTTATAAGTTAGCACTGACTTGATGGCCATGGAAGTGATGCCCCAAGGGGGACGACTGTGATATTTTCTTACATAAAATGCCAGTGATGTCTCTAAGGTGAACCAGAGACATATATAAACCATAGATGCATGAATGGATTTGGATCTTGCACTTACTTCTACTCCCTATCTAAGAAAAAATAGTTCTTATGATATGGCCCTGCCTGGCCCTCATAAAGAAATCACTGAAAATATGGGTGCTACAGCACAGAATGGTAAAAGAACTAGATGGTGCCTGGTTATCAAAAAGAATAGCATCTGAGGTCTTAAAAGACTTTTTTTTCAAACAAGCAGCCATCTAAGTGAGGCATCAACTAAGTCCACAGGGAAGAAGCACACCAGCTTGCATGATCCAAGGACTATAAATAATATAATCCACATCCAAAGGAGGGAGTAGTAGCAGAGCTTAAATTGTGAAGACCTGGTTTGCAGAAGGTTATGGATGACAGTGGGAGCCCCAAAACCATTTGCAGGGTCCACACATGAATTAAGCCTGTTGACTCCCCTTTGATCATAGTTGAGGGATATGAATAGCCTTGTTATCAGACAGAAAGCATTGTAAAGTCAATTATTGCAGATGTA